CTAGAAAAAAAACAATGTCCCAGCTCAAGCAGTCAGGCAGGAAGAATTCCCTTTTACCCTGTCTTTTTGTTCTATTCATACCTTCAATTTATTGGATGGGGGCTCACCCACATTGTGGAGGTCAATCTTCTTTACTTTGTCTACTGATTCAAATGTCAATTGCATACAGAAAAGTCTTCACAGACACACCCAGAGTAATGTTTGATCAAATATCTGGGCAACCTGTGGCTCAGTCAAGTTGATACATTAAAATTAAGTATCACATAGCCTTCACTTGTCTTCCCAGTCTGCTGTGAGAATCACATAATTGAGTAGATATAGATGGGAAAGTCCTGTGTGAACCGTGCTACTATGTATCAATATGGGGAGTGATTATTATTCCTGACAGGCCAGAGGAGACACATACTTGGGTGGGCAGAGTATGATCTTTCCCACTTCTCTGAATTCATACATCAGAATATCATACCTAACTTTCTTCTCTGAGTGCTAAGAAATCCAGTAGGAATTTTATACACAAGGAACAATCCCTCCTGCCCCAACCCAAGGCTTCCTGGATTCTGAGCTAGAGAAAAGACTGAGAAAAACACCAGACAGCCCTATGACATAATGTGAAAAGCATCTTCTTAAGATCTCATTGCTTGGTAAAGTTTTCATACAATGCTGATTTTGTTTTGTGTGTGTGTGTGTGTGTGTGTGTGTGTGTGTGTGTGTTAGAACGTGACTAGTTCTGCAAGTGATTAAGCTGCTAGACAATGCAAACTAGGCAGCAGAGAAATGCATTTGCTATCTCCAAAAGATCCTATTGTCATGAGGAGATATACTGTCAAAGGGTCAGCCTAGCACATGAGGGAAGTGACATTTCAGCTGAGTCAGTTGTGTAGAGACTTGGAGAAAGATCCTGACACATTTGGATTACAATTTTTTAAAAAAGGAAGAGACTGTGAGGCTTATGGGAAGTTGAGGGGAGGCAGCAGGAATAGCATATGCAAAGGCCTTCAGGTTGAAACAACTTCATGCACTCGAAAGACAGAAAGAAAGCTAGTGTGACTGCCACAGGGAGAGAGGGAGACAAGTGGCTTGATAGGAAGGTAGAGAGTAAGGCAGAGCCAGCTCACAAAGAACCTTGTAAGCCCAAGGAAAGTATGGATTGGCTATACTCAAAGTCAGTGTGGTTCAGTGGTCAATGCACAGACTCTGAAACCATAGTTCCTGGGTTCAAATTCTGACTGTGTCTCTTCTTAGCTATATGACCTTGAGCATGTTACCTATTATTTCTGTACCTCAGGAATGCCCTCTGAAAAGTGAGGATAATAATGACACTATTCATTCTGTTATTGTGAGGATTAAGTGAGTTAACATGTTCACAGTGTGCATGGTGGTACTGGGTGTTTGAAGTGTTTGAAGAAGTGGAATGATAGGTTCTGCTTTGTGATCCAAGAAAATGACTTTTGCAGGCTCTATAGAGAATAGATAGGAGACAGTGAAAATGGAAATGATAAGCCGGATTGAGTGGCTGCTGCAAAAATGCATGCAGCTATTGGAGTTGGATAGAAGAGGGAAGACTGATGTCCATTTTGGAAATAAAATCAATGGGACTTTCTGGTGAATTAATTCAGAGAGATAGAGGACAGAAAGGAAACAAGAAAGATGATCCCTAGGTTTCTGGCTCTGCTACTGACCAGCTGTGTAATTTTGGGCAAGTGACTTAACCTGTTTAAGCTTCAATTTCCTTATTTATTAGTGAGGGTTCTCCAGAGAAATAGAACCAATAGGATACGTACATATATAGAGAAAGAGAGATTTATTTTAAGGAAGTGGCTCACACAGTTTTGGTGGTACAAGTCTAAAATCTGCCAGGGTAGGTTGGCAGGCCGGAGACCCAGAGAAGAATTGCAGTCAGAGTCCAAAGGCAGTCTGCTGGCAGAATTTCTTCTTGCTCAGGGAATGTCAGTCTTTAATTCTGTTAAGATCTTCAGGCTGGGCATGGTGACTAACGACTGTAATCCCAGAACTTTGGGAGACTGATGCAGGTGGATCACTTGAGGTCAGGACTTAAAGACACAGCCTGGCCTACATGGTGAAACACTCTATTTACTAAAAATACAGAAATTAGCCGGCCTTGGTGGCTCACACTTGTAATTCCAGCTACTCAGGAGGCTGAGGCATGAGAATCACTTGAATCGCTTGAGGCAGAGGTTGCAGTGAGTCGAGAGCATGCCACTGCACTGCAGCCTGGGTGACAGACTGAGACTTTGTCTCCAAAAAAAAAGTTGTTCAACTGATGGTATGAGGCCCACCTACATTATGCAGGGTATTCTGCCTTACTCAGAGTCCACCAATTAACATGTAAATCTCATCTATAAAAATACCTTGACATAAATATCTCGAATAATTGACTTGGCACTGTGGCTCGGCTAAGTTGACACATTAAATTAACCATCATGCCTTTTCTATGAAACTGGAATAATGATAATATCCAGTCATTGGTGCTATTGTTTTGAGGATAAAATAATATTCATTTGAAGCACTTGTTACAGTGTCTTTTATATAGCAAGAGCTCAATTAATGATAGCCTTTGCTATTTCAATGTATTAATAATCCTTCACATTCATTTGATATTTCATATTTTCAAAGTACCTTCACGAGATATACAAATAGCCAACAAACATGGAAAAATGCTCAACATTACTAATTATCAGGGAAATGCAAACTAAAACCACAATGAGATACAACCTTACTCAGCCAGAATAGCCATTATTAAAATGTCTACAAACAAAAGATGTTGGCGTTGATGTGGTAAAAAGGGAACACTTACACACTTCTGGTGGAAATGTACTGTATTAGTTTGTTTTCACACTGCTGATAAAGACATACCTGAGACTGGGGAATTTGCAAAAGAAAGGTTTAATTGGATTTACAGTTTCACATGGCTGGGGAAGCCTCACAATTATGGTGGAAGGCAACGAGGAGCAAGTTACATTGCACGTGGATGGCAGCAGGCAAAGAGAGAATGTACCAGCAGGGGAAATGCCAGATGCTTATAAATCCATGAGAACTTGTGAGAACTCAATCACTATTATGAGAACAGTATAGAGGAAACTGCCCCCATGATTTAATTATCTCCACCTGGCCCCACCCTTGACAAGTAGGGATTATTACAATTTAAGGTGAGATTTAGGGTGGGGGCACAGAGCCAAACCATATTATTCCACCCCTGTCCCCTCCCAAATTTTATGTTTTTACATTTGAAACCAATTTTGCCTTGCCAACAGTCCCCCAAAGTCTTAACTTATTTTAGCATTAACCCAAAAGTTTACAGTTTAAAGTTTTATTTGAGGCAAAGCAAGTCCCTTCTGCCTATGAGCTTGTAAAATTAAAAGCAAGCTAGGGCCAGATGCAGTGGCTCACGCCTGTAATCCCAGCACTTTGGGAGGCCAAGGCGGGCAGATCACGAGGTCAAGAGATCGAGACCATCCTGGCCAACATAGTGAAACCCCGTCTCTACTAAAAATACAAAAATTAGCTCGGCATTTGGCACGCACCTGTAGTCCCAGCTACTTGAGAGGCTGAGGCAGAAGAATCGCTTGAACCTGGGAGGCAGAGGTTTCAGTGAGCCGAGACTGTGCCACTGTGATCCAGCCTGGCAACTGAGCAAGGTTCCGTCTCAAAAAAAAAAAGAGCAAGCTACTTACTTTTTAGATACAGTGGGGGTACAGGTATTGGGTAAACACAGCCATTCTAAATGAGAGAAATTGACCAGAACAGAGGGGCTACAGGCCCCATGCAAGTTTGAAATCCAGTGGAGCAGTTAAATTTTAAAGCTTTAAAATGATTTCCTTTGATTTTATATTTTACATTCAGGTTATGCTGATGTAAGAGGTGGGGTTTCATGGTTTTGGACAGCTCTACCCCTGTGGCTTTGCAGGGTACAGCCTCCCTCATGGCTGCCTTTGTGGGCTAGCATTGAGTGTTTACAGCTTTTTTAGGCACAAAATACAAGTTGTTAGTGGATTTACCATTTTGGTGTTTGGAGGACAGTGGTCCTCTTCTCACAGCTCTATTAGGTGGTGTCCCAGTAGGGACTCTGTGTGGGTGTTCAACCCCACATTTTCCTTTCACACTGACCTAGGGGAGGTTTTTTTTTAATGGCATCCCCCCACCCCATCTTCAGGCCTTGCACCCTCTAAAGCAACATCCCAAGCTGTACCTTGGCTTCTTTTAGTTATGGCTAGAGTGGCTGGGACACAGGGCACCAAGTCCCTAGAGTGAATAAGGCAGAGGGATCGTGGGCCTTGCCCAAGAAACCATTTGTTCCTCCTAAACCTCCATACCTGTGATGGGAGGGCTTGCCATGAAGACCTTTGATATGCCCTGAAGACATTTTCCCCACAGTTTTGGGGATTAACATTTAGCTTCTTGTTACTTACGCAAATTTCCATAGCCTGCTTCAGTTTTTCCTTAGAAGATGGGATTTATTTTTCACTGCGTGGTTAGGCTGCAAAGTTTTCAGACTTTTAGGCTTTGCTTTCCTTATAAAACTAAATGCCTTTAGCAGCACCCAGGACATATCTTGAATGCTTTGCTGCTTAGAAACTTTTTCACCTGATACCCTAAATTTTTTTAAGTTCAAAGTTTCACAAATTTCTAGGGCAGGGGCAAAATTTCACCAGTCTCTTTACTAAAACATAACAAGAGTTACCTTGGCATCAGTTTCCTACAAGTTCTTTATTTTTATCTGAGACCACCACAGCTTGGACTTTATTGTTCATATTGCTATTAGCATTTTGGGCAAAGCCATGTAACAAGTTTTGAGGAAATTTTAAACTGTCTTACATTTTCCTGTCTTCTTCTGAGCCCTCCAAACTGTTTCACCCTCTGCCAGTTCCAAAGTTGTTTCACATTTTTGGATATATTTTTTTTAGTAGCATCCCACTTGTGGTACCAATTTACTGTATTAAGTTTGTTTTCACACTGCTGATAAAGACATACCTGAGACTGGGCAATTTACAAAAGAAAGAAATTTATTTGGATTTATAGTTTCACATGGCTAGAGAGGTCTCACAATTATGGTGGAAGACAAGGGGGAGCAAGTTACATTTAACATGGATGGTGGCAGGCAAAGAAAAAATATAGCAGCAGGGGAAATGCCAAATGTTTATAAAAACCATCAGATCTCATGAGAACTCACTATTACAAGAACTGTATGGGGGAAACAGCCCCCATGATTTAATTATCTCCACCTGGCCCCTCCCTTAACACATAGGAATTATTACAATTTAAGGTAAAATTTGGCTGGGAACACAGAGCCAACCCATATTATATACATTAGTACAACCTCTATGGAAAACAGTATATAGAGATTTCTCAACCAAAAGTAGATTTCCCATTTGATCCAGCTATCTCACTAGTGGGTATCTGCCCAGATGGAAAGAAGTCATTATATCAAAAAGTTGCCCAGACATGTATGTTTATCACAGCAAAATTCACAATTGCAAAGATATGGGATTAATCTAAGTGCCCAACAATCAATGAGTGTATGAAAAAAATGTGGTGTATAAACACCGTGGAATACTACTTAGCCATAAAAAAGGACTAAATAGTGTTTTATGAAGTAAATTGAATGGAGCTAAAGGCTGTTATTATAAGTAAAGTAACTCAGGAATAGAAAATCAAATACTGTATGTTCTCACTTATAAGTAGGAACTAAGCTATGGGTACACAAAGGCATACAACATGGTAGAATAGATATTGGAGACTCCAAAGGGGAAGGGTTGGAGGAGGATAAGAAATAGAAAACTACATATTGAGTACAATATATACTACATGGGTGGCTGTACACTAAAATCTGACTTCACCACTATATAATTTATCCATGTAAGGAAAAACTACTTATACTCCAAAAGCTATTGAAAAGAAAAGAAAAAGTGCCTTGACATGTACAAATTCATGTAATCCTCCCAACACTTACCCTACTTTAAAGGTAGGGAAACTAAGGCTGGAAGAGGTGGAATATCTTCTCCATGCAGCTATCTCCAAAGAGCCAGAATGAAAACCAAGTGTGTAACTCCATAGTAGTTATTTGGTCATTACTCTTCTCACTTGGCTGGAGTGAACAGTGCCCAGCCTCCTTCATTCTAGAGGTGAGAGATACCAGGAATAGAGTTATAAATGCAGTATGTCTTAAGAAAGATAGCTTACCTTTACCAAGCAAACATTTATTTTGTGCCAGGCACTGTTCTAAATGTTTTTGCATGTGTATCTAATACAATCTTCTCAATAATCTTATGAGGTAGGCATAATTCTTCTTCTTTTTTTTTTTTTTAACTAGGCAAAGAAGTTTATTAACCTTTGTCTCAAACTTTATTCCCAGGCTTCTTCATCTTAATTAGCTGCAAAGAAGGAATGAATTGTTTATAAGCAAAAAATGAAAAGGGATGCAGTGTCCATGGGGCTTGGGCTTAAAAATATTAGAGAACTAGATTTTATCAGATCCATAAACAAAAAAATTTTTTTAAAGCAGTCATAATATAAAATAGCAGCTCCCCGTAACTTTTTCAAGTGTTATTTTCTTCGTAAGTTGACTTAATTTAGTTTGCCTCATTCTCGGAAGCCACATCAAAATTTTCCACAAAATCTGGAACTTCATCATCATCATCCTCTCCAGTAGCAGGTAGTGCTTTTCCATCCACATGTTGTTTAGGCAAAGCTTCAGCCAGTCTCCTTAAACTAGTCAAACTGTCTGCACCAAGCTGGTTTAAGATGCTGGGTAGCATTTCTGTCAGCTGCTTTGTCACAGCATGGCCTGTAATAGTGAAAGTGTTCACCACTAGACATGCCTGAACTTCAGGGTTGTGAAAGTGGATCACTGTTCGTTGGTTTGTAAACATACTTACCTCTTCAATACCAGAGATATTGTTTACCTCTAACTTCTTTATGGAGATCTGAAGTTTTAAATCATCTGCTGTGGCTGTTTTAGGAACCACCTCCTTTCTGTGAGCAGTTCCTTTCCTGAAGTTTGGCGGGTCTTCCTGGTTCATGATTGTTTCTTTCATCTTGGCAGAGTGGATACGGGGCCATGATGGGGACTAGGGTTGGTGATCAGGGGTCTTGGGTGTACCAGCTGAGGTTAAGCGCACACATGTGGGGACACAAGATGGAAGCTAGAGCGGCACAGTTTTTTAGTGAGGAAAATGCATGTAGGGCATGGAAGAGAGGGACACTCAGGCCGTATGGTGAGATGACTCAAATGACTTCTGCTCTTTCTTCTTTCACCATTGTACATTGCAGAGAGGATGAAAATTCTATTCTCTTACAAACTCCCCAGCTATACTCATCCCTTTTCTTGTTTTGCAATTTCAACTTATTGCTATATCCTGACTACCTACCTACCCATCTACCTGCTTATCTATGTGATCCTTGTTGAGTATCTCTTACAAGCAAAGCTCCATGCTTAATTTGATGATGAGTGATTATTGTCTCAAATATCCACTAGCTTACAGTTCAAATAAAACTTGTAAATAAATACTCCTGGACATCGAGTTCAGAGGGGTAGCTGAGTGAATGGGTTATGAGGCTCAGGAGTGGAACTATCTAGGAGATTAGGCTCTACAACTAAGCACTGGGTTCTGATACTGAGAGAAATGCTCACTCCCCACCACAGTCTTGAACTGATGTATAATTGGCATTGGCTGTTCCAGAAAGATGTTGAGCTTGACAAGAAACCATTGTACTTCCTCTAAAGGGGCTTTCAGACCTTTGCTGCTCTTTTCCAACCAGTTCTTTCTCTACCCTGAGTAGAGCCAGATGGTCTGGCCTACTAGCTTGCTTGAAATAGAACTTAAAGACGCCTAAAATAAATGCGAAATAGGCCCAAAATAGATTCATGTGAAGGAACAGAAGGAAACTGCTGTTTCCTCGGTATTTTCTCAGGTATTTATTCAGACATTAGCCCCAGGAGGGTGGTATAGGCAGTTTTTCTTGAGGGAAGGGCTTCCAGGTGGTGGTTTAGGGTGGCAACTATGTCAACAGGAAACAGAAAACCAAAGAGATCCTGAAATTCTCAACCTGTAATCTGGACTTTTTAGTCCCTTTTGGAGTTCTTACTAATGAAGGCCTTTGAGGGTGGAAGAAAGGTGAAGATTGTTATTCACAGGCTGCAGGAGAGAATACTTTCCATGACAAGACTTCCTTTACATTCTGCAATGTGAGTCATCAGGGCTATGCCTTGCTCTTCATTCACTCATTCATTCATCAATTTACTTATTCAGTCATTAAAATATATTTATTGAGTGCTAAGTACTATTTTAGGTGCTGAAGATACAGATAGGAACAAAACAATTTGCTTTCATGGAGCTTCCATTTTATAAAGGGAGACAATAAACCAAACAACAAAAACACATAATATTTTAGGTAGTGATAGGAGCCATGAGAGAAAAGCAGCATAAGGGGTTAGAGAGTGATGTGGTGTATTCTTAGAGAGGGTTGTGTGGGAAATATTTTTTGAGGAGGTGAAAGAGCTAAACAAATTTAAAAAAACTAAAAAAGTCTTCAGGAAGAGTCAAATTTTTAATCCTATGTTTGATTTTCTCCCTAAAATTCTACCTTCCACCACACAATTTTGTGCAACCCAATTATTCAACTTAAGGTAATCACCCATGGTCATTTGTACAGGTTACCACCTGAGACCAAGGGTATGTTTTCTATACCTTTGGCAAGGCTGTTGAAAATTTAAAACTACCAATACCTTTTTAAAATCTACAACTAAAAATAAGTCAGCCTTTTGAGCTTTGGGGAAGTTAATGACTTGTTTGAGGTCACACAGTTACCAAGAAGCAGAGGCTGGACTTACATCTGAAAGTTTTAACTTCTCATCCACTACTCTTTTCAATTTGTACAAACATTTCAAGGCATTGTGGGGACACATCAGCACCCTTGGGCATAAGCCATTTTATGTGAATGTGAGGACAGGTAACTTTTCCTAAGGGTGCATTAACAGGAAGAACAGTGTTCAAAATAAGGGAGATGACAGTCCCTGTCTACTTCTCATTTTCATTCCCACCTGGATTTGTGTGCTGAGAGATTAGATACACTGAAGAGCAACAAGCCTGGGGAGGGGACTGCAAACCATGTCACAAAAGGAAGAGCTTAAAGAAATGGTCATATTTATCTTTATGGAAAATGAGTGTGTCAGAGGGGTTGTTTAGGAGAAATTAGGGTTTGAGCCCACAGTAGATGTCTTCTGCCTTCTATTGCTTAGAAGGACTTGGCTTTTTTTTTTTCATGGCCCAGAGGGTAGCACTGTAACAATTGGGCAGAGCCACAAGAGTAAATTTCAGCTAAAATGAATAATGGCCTTGGATACTTCAGAATGAGTTCCCTATTAATGAAAAGACTCCAGAAACTCGACAAAACTTACCAGGGATAGTTGAAGAAAAGGGTGGCTTTGGAAAGAGATATCAATTCAAATTCTGCTACTGCTACTACTTCATCAAACTTGTACGGCTATGGGCAAATGATGTAAATACTCTGAGGTATAATTACTTTTCTAAAATAATGATAACAATTTCTTCTTCTCAAATTTCTAGGGATAATTAAGTAAAATAATATGTTAAGAGACCTAGCACCATGTGTGCCCAAACTAGGTGTTTCCTCTTCCTCCTCCTCCCCCGCCACCTTTGATATACTGTGGAGAGGATACCTACACAGGGAGGTTGCAAGAAACACAAAATTATTTATTTGTTCTATAATCATCAACAACTTTATTCATTACCTGATTGTGCTTGGGATACTTAATGTATGATATTGAAATCATGTGCATCATTGATTATCTCTCCCACTAAACTGTAAAATCCCTGAGATCCACTCTGTATTCCTTAGCTGTCAGAATAAGGGCTTATTGAATTGAACTGATTTTGGAAGAGTAGTGATTTACGTGCTGAATAATTGAACTAAACCGGAATTTTTGTCTTTAGGGAGCAGCTTGTCTTAAATAGAGCTGATACCCATGAACGTGCAAGAGCATCAAGTAATATCAGTAGCTAAGACAATAAACAGATAGGATTCAATATCTGTAGACTGTCTGAGGCAAGCAGGAGGGACTATGAGGAAGCTAGGGTGGGGGTTGGATGAGAAATAAGTGAGCAGCAGTGGGGATCAGGACAAAAAAATGGAACTTTCCCTGCTAGGAGTGCTTCCTAGCAGAAGTGGGTCTTTGGGAGCTATTCAAAACATGAGAAGCAAAGGACAACTAGGAATTTTTTTTTTCTGACAGAAGGAAAAGGTTTGAGACCTAGGGATCTTGGGTTTGGGAGGCAGGCCACTGGGGCCCAGGTCAGGACATCAAAACAGTTTATTCTTATGACCTAGGAGACATTGTATCAGATGTTATTGAAAGATGGGACATGTGTCACCTATTGGCATTTATAAAGAACAGTGTTTAAGCAAACTCTAGAGCTAGATAATTTGAGTTTACATCCAGGTTTCATATTTTACTACTCATGTGACCTTAGGCAAGTTATTTAACTTCATTCTGCCTCAGTTTCCTCATCTATAAAATAAAGACAATAATAGTACCTACCTCATAAAGTTGTTGTGAAGATTAAAAGACTTTATGTATGTACCAGACTTAGAACACTGCGTGGCACAGAGTATGCAGTTTATAAGTGTTAATTATCATGATCACAATCTGTTGAACTGCCTTTTGGACCTGAGAACTAGTGTGAATTTGAGGACATTATTATTCCAGATCCTCTCATGGACAGCCCAGGCTGTGGTAGAAGTAGTGACAATATGTGGCTCAAAGAGGTGGAAGAACGTTCTACCATCTGAGATTGTCCCAAAGACGAAAGAGCTGTCTTGGGAGGGAGGAACTGCCCCATCATTGTAGGTGTTGGAGCTGAGACTGGATAACCAACTAATGGGGATGTTTAAGGGATGGCAGGATGGAACTGGGGTTGTGCTAGCGGAAGAGATTATCTAATTCCTAGATACTTGTCAGCAAGAAGGGATAGATCTGGGGAGGGGGTATTGTCACTCCAAATGTAAAGGACTCTTCTATTAAAAATATTTGTGAGAAAAGTTGAATGGTCACATAACTCAGAAAGCTACCCACACATGGGCAGGGCTGGCATCAAATGCCATGTTCCAGGGTCTGAAATCTCTCAAAAGTACTTGAGATACAAGGGCTTTGGTTCCCACTCTGCCGGAAATTAGCTGTGTAATCTTGGACAAGTTGCTTCCCTTCTCTGTGAACCTGGAATATAAGAGCTTAGATTTTTCACTGTGGTTTCATCAGGTCTTACCTTCTGTGGTTGGAAGATGAGTCTTTGAGTGCAGACCAGTGGATGAAGGAGACATTCATGCATCCAACAGGTGTTTGTTATTAAGCACCTGCTAAGTGTCAGGCACTGTGCTGGGCACAAGGGAGAAAGCAGTGAGCAAGACAGTCATGGTCTCTGCCCTCCTAGCTTCACAGTCCAGTAAAGGATACAAACAAGAAAAAAAATACAATACAGTTTAATAAATGTTTCAAGAGGGCTAAACATAGGATTCTATGGGAGAGGACTATCATTCAGAATATTTTTGAGGGAGAGGACGTCAGAGAAAGGCTTCTGGAGCTGGTGGCACCTCAGCTGAGCTTTGAGGTGGGGAGCTAGGGAAATAAAGCAGCAGTTTATATAGGCTCTGAGGCGAGATAACCTGGTGTGTTATGAGAATTACTGTAGCTTCTATGTAGCTAGAGAATAGAGACTGAAAGGGCACTGGTAAGTGCTGAGGATACGGAGGCCAAAGGACATTAGATTGGCAGGAAATTTTATGCCACACTACAGAATTTGCCTTAAGTGCGCTGGGGAGCTATTGAAGGCATTTGAGCAGAGGCGTTATATAAGTCAGGTTTCAGCTGCAAAAATAAACCACTGTAGTTCTTTTCAGCAGAAGAGGTTTTAATATAGAAAATAAAATGCTTACAAAATTGGTAGGAAGGCTGGAGGGGCAAGCTTTAGGCTATGCCTCCAAGAAAGAATCTAAGAACAATGTCAGGGTAGCTACTCTCTCTCTCTGTCTCTCTCTGACAAGCAGGAAGATGAGGCATTGGGGGCTCTAGGAGCATGCCACCTTGTCTGCAATTTAGGAATGAGGAAGCTGCCACAGCCCTAACCATCTGTTGGCTAGAGTATCACTATGTCTATCAGATCCTCAGTGACAAAAAAAAAAAATCCCATACTCTGGCTCTCAAAATGCACAAAGCCAGTGGCTAGACACTGGAATCTATGGTAACACAGCCACAGAAAACCCTAACACCTTCATCATTATGCTTTCCAACAGAAACAACAGAGACATGACTTCTGCCTCACCCACCAACTCCTTCTAAATACTGTGCATGTGTGTATGATTGGCATCACTATGTCATATCCAGAACACTGGCTGCAAAGGAAGCCTGGAAATGCCAGTTTATTGTTGTTGTAGTTTTTTGGTTTTTAGATTTTTTAGCAATATAGAAAGGCAGGCTAGAAGGACTGAATCCTTACAAACCAATCCAAAGTATTTACCACAAAATTGATAAAAAGCAAAACTGCTTTTGAGAGAGAATTTGGGGAGAAAAGTAGAGGCTTAATTGGGGAGGGAGAGCAGCACAAGAGAACGGGTAATGAATTGTGATAGATCAGAACTGATCAAAAGTAGTGGCAGCAGGGAGAGAGAAAGAAACAAATAAGAGAGAGATTAAGGAGGAAGAGAATCAACAGGACTAAAAGACTAGTTGGCCATCAGTGAGGTGAGGGAGAGGAAAAATGAGTAGATATCTTCTTGGTTTCTGGCTAGTTCAGAGTGTGACTGCCATTCCCAAGAAACAAAGGACTCAGGGGAAGAAGGAAACTGGCAAGAGTTGGGGGAGATGACTTCAATTTTTGACTTTTTAACTTGGATATGCTTACGAGAGATTAAGGAGGAGATAGCCAGAAAGCAGTAGGACCTTCATTCCTGGGGTCCAAGAGAGCTACCTTGGAGTCATCAGCAGCTTTCTGCTTATATGCAAGCAAGGTCCTATGTCTGTTTTGTTTCCCAGTGGTGTAGTTTTGTTGAAAGGAGATGCCTCAATGTGCAATGTAGATGGTAGTTCAAGCCTTGGAAGTAGATGAGTCCATTCAGTGCAAATGCAAAATGAGAAGAAAAGGGGACTTTGATCAGAAGAACCTGAGAAATAATGGCATTAATGACTGGATGAAGAAGAACCCATGCAGGGAGTGAAGACAGCATAAATATACAGGTCATGTGGATGGCATTCTCAAGGCAAAGGAGCATTTCAGGATTGAGGAAGGCATCAGTGGCATCAAATGGGAGAAAAGTTAGGAAAGGTAAAGATGGAAACTTGGCCATGAGATTTAGTAACAAGTTGGTTGTTTTTTTCTATTCACAAGAGGTTTCAGTTTTCTATAGGATAGTAAAGATAAAGCCAGGATGCAGTGGGTAGAGGGGTCAAAAGATAGTGAGGAAGTAGAGACACGGTAAGACTGAACTTTCAAAGACAAGGAGAAAGATTTTAGTTGTTTATATTATGGTACTGTCCTGATCACAAGTATCTGTCTCAACATAATCTAGAAGAGTGGTTTTCAAACTGTTTTGACTATTACTTGCTATATGAAATATATTTCACATTACAGTACATTTATATTCATATATAACTGAAACAAAAGCTTCACGAAAGAGTATTTATCCTAAGTATATGAACATTTTCTATAAATGGACTCATACAAAAGCCTTTTGCTCATCTCTTTCACTTAGCATAATGTTTTCAGACCTCCAAGCTCATCTATGTTTAGAAGGTATCAGTACTTCATTCCTTTTTATGATTAAATAATACTTCATTGTATGGATATAACACATTTTGTTTATCCATTCATCAGTTGTTGGACATTTGAATTGTTTCTGTCTTCTGGCTATTGTGAATAATGCTGTTATGAACATTCATGTATTAGTTTTTGTGTGGATGTGTTTTCATTTTTCTTAGGTATATACCTATCTGTTCAGTCATATAGTCCTAGAATATAAGAGCAAAAAGACTCTGAGAGCTTTCTTGTATAAGGGAGTCCTTGGTTTGAAAGCCTAGGGAAACACAGAAATGTTTTTTTTCTGAGGTGAGGGTTCTGAGGTTTCACTGAATTCTCAGGTAAGTCTAAATCCTCATTGACAAGGGAGACAGAAGACAGACTCCTGACAGGAAAAGGGAATGTCCCAAAAGTCGTACAGCAAGCTTGAGGTAGGGCTGAGAGTAAATTTGAAACCTTCTGGTCTCTACTCCATGGCTTTTCCCCACTTAGTCCAGACACCAGGTCACAGAGCAGGGCAATGATTACAAGGGGATTGCAAGTTGTAGACAGGATTTTCCATGGCGAATGTTTAACCCTATGCTGGCTTCTCTTTATAGCACCCATAATGCTGGGCAAGTGCAAGCTAACTGTCCTAGTCTGAAGAAAACATAATTAAGAAAGGAAATCTAGGGAGGCCGAAGCGGGTGGATCACGAGGTCAAGAGATCGAGACCATCCTGGTCAACAAGGTGAAACCCCATCTCTACTAAAAATACAAAAATTAGCTGGGCGTGGTGGCGCGTGCCTGGAATCCCAGCTACTCGGGAGGCTGAGGCAGGAGAATTGCCTGAACCCAGGAGGTGGAGGTTGCAGTGAGCCAAGATCGCGCCATTGCACTCCAGCCTGGGTAACAAGAGTGAAACTCCGTCTCAAAAAAAAAAAAAAAAAAAAAAAAAAGGAAATCCAGGTAAGGGCAGTGGTATCAGGGAAAGCCAAATAGAATTGGATTTGGAAATTCTGTCGTGTGTCCCTGTGATTCTGTCCACAACACCGATTTGTTGGCTTTTTATAGCTAATTGTGAGTGTAAATTCTTAGGCAGTCGCCAGAGGCACCTTTGCTTCCTCCTTGGCCCAGGCTCCAAACAAAGTGGTTGCTAGGTACATGCCTTCTCCCCAGCTACCTATCCTTCCCCCTCCATTCCTTTTTTCTCCTCCCCAGCCTTTTTTTTCCTCCCCATCCTTTTTTTCTGCCTTTCCCCACAATTCTCTGTCTGCATTTATCTTCCCTCTCTTCTCCTTGCTCCTCTTCCTCTTTTCTTCTTTTTCTCCTTCTTCACAGGGTCTCCTCCCGACATGCCCTCCCCCTGCATCCTATTGGGTCCCTTCCTTCCCTCCCCCTTTTCCAGTCCTTTTCCTCTCCATCTCCCTATCCCCCCTCAACCCGCCCCCAAGAAGCTCCCCACCCCCAAACCAGAACTGGTGGCTGGTGACTCTCGTCCGTCTGGATAGAGCAAGCTTCCTTGGGAGCCTTGGGCCCTCTCATTGGCTGCCGCGGCTAGCACGCCAGCCCAAGTCCCGCCCCTGGGGAGCGAACGTGCTACTGCGGCACCTGTTATTGGTCGGCAGGTCTGTCAGTGGGTCTGGCTGCGCCTCACGCAAGCGCCCGCAGTCGCTCGGTGAATAAAAGGGCAGCCTACGGGCTGAGCGGGGGATGGGGAGAGGAGAGGGAGAGGACCAGCAAGGCAGGGATCTAAGGAGTGACTGGCATCCGGGAGCCCAGCGGAAAGAGCGAGCCAGCTTTGGAAAGCGAGCGAACTAAAGGGAGTAGGGGAGACCGAGACTGACCGGTAGCCAGGCAGGCGGACGGACGCACTCCCGGACAGACTGAGCAGGCGCCGGAGAACCACTCACAGGTTCCTCCCGCCTTTCCCTTTGAAAGCTAGGATTTTGCCTTTCCCGTGGCGCCCGAGAGAGAATGCTGGACTTTGCCGACTTCAGCCCATGCTAAGATTTCTCAGCTAGGGAAGAAAGAGCAGCCCAAACCTGAGAAGGGGGGAACCAAGTACCCCTGTCCCCATCCCCCTCCCCTCCCCCCGACTAAACTCGGGCGCCAAACCCATCCCTTCCCTAACCATCCGACTTCCTGCTTTCCTTTCTAGCATGGTGGCTGTATGGACAGTCTGACAGAACAGAGACTGACATCTCCCAATCTGCCGGCCCCCCACCTGGAACACTACAGTGTTCTGCATTGCACCATGACCCTGGATGTGCAAACTGTAGTCGTTTTTGCCGTGATTGTAGTCCTCCTGCTTGTCAATGTCATACTCATGTTTTTCCTGGGAACGCGCTGAATGGAGTCCAGCCACCTGAGCTGTCGCGAACTCTCGCTTTGATTTCATCCCAAGAGCCACCGAGAAAAAAAAATCAGAGACAGAGAGAGACAGGGAAAGAGAGAGAAAGAACAATCTTTCTACTCAGGGGGGAAAACGTTTTGAGCTTCAACATGGCCTCGCTGTGATATGTATGACGTTGGTATATTATCTCTCCCTAAATCTTTTGTCATGTCTTGTGTTTTAAGTATGCTTGTGCATATATTTGCCTATTGCTTGAGTGAAATTGTTGATAAAGAAATGCTTTCTATTTAAGTGTGCATGCGTGTGTGCATTTTAAATATGTGTGGCGTTCATTGGAGCAAGCTCTGTGTCCTTAAACAGTGGCTTTGTTGTTTGTGGTGTCTTCTCAACTCATTTCCTTGAAGACTACCTTTAAACTCCATTAGGGAATTTTAGTCAAAATTTCTCTCTTGCCATCAGGAGTGCATTTTGGTTTGTTTGGGGGGGAAAGGGATTTGTGGAAGAGCATGATGAATGTTTGACATCATAGGAAAGACAGTCTTTGCACTGGATATTTAGAGGGAAAAGAATGCAAGGAATGGATTTAGGGAAAATGATTCTTTAGTCTCTAATGAGAAGCAAGAATTTGGGAAGTGACACGGGTGTGTTGTGCTGGTAGTTGATGACTGTGTCCTTTGAATTTCAATTTGCTCTCCAGGGTTCACAATTTTCAATTTTGAAAGAAGCCACCTTTAAAACATGTCTTAAACCTTAAAGCTTTAAGACATTTAAAATGTCATTTTCTTTGGAATCATGGAATAGTACATAAGAGCATTCTCTGATTTTTTGAATTGGCAAGAGAGGACTTTGACAAGAGCTATTTGGGCTCCCTTTACCAAATATTGTACTCCTGGATTTGAGTTTGGGGATTTTGTCTGTCTCATCAAAAAAGAAAAAAGAAAAAACAAACCCCAAAACCATCTCTTTATCCACCTTGGGAATAATAGTATTTGGATATGGCTCCTTTGGGGTAATCTCATTTGCAATGTTGTTCCTGAACTACATTTTAAATATAACTTGATAAGGCTGATGAGAAAGTGGGGATGTTATTGTTTGCTCCTTTGTTACTTTAAGATAAGAAGTCTCTGTAATTGAAACATTCCCATAACAAACTGAAAGTCTGTAATGTGCTAAATTAAGAGTTGTCAAATTTTGGTGCTAAATTTGAGCACCAAAACCCAAAAACGTCTAGATGGAATGGGATGAGAGCATGGAAAACATGAGCTGAAAGCAACATTCCAGTTTGAGATATGACTGCTTATCTGTATCCGATGGTAGTGGTAGTTGCTGTTATTATTGCTATTGCTATTATTTTTTCTGTTTCCTCTGAGAAAGTTCTTGGCAGAGCCAGGAAAAAATGTCTTGGATGCCAGTCTGATGATACTTGTTTGTTTGTTTTTTTCTCCCCTGTTAATGTAGGCAGGCCCTTCCCATTCCATTGCTTACCTGGCTTGAAATAATGCCATTTATGCCTCATGTATTATATTAGTGAGTCAGGGCACATACACATCCACACACATGCTCCCCCTCCACCCATGTGGGTGGCTGTTCATGTCTGATGTGCAAATCTGCTGGCATTATGCTGTCAAGTTCCATGTCTGGTTGTCAGTCTCTTTGGAAATGATTATGAAAGGAGAGGGGCTGTGAAGGGGGCCCTTGAAATTGTCCTGGCCACAGGACCCAGAGATATTATTTAATGGCGTCAGAGGGGGTTTCGGGCCTCAAAGCATGCTATCGTTGACTTGGTGTGGGTGAGAAGTTGCAGTTTTTGGGGGATTTGTACCACAGTATAAACATGATCTGGGAAGTTTGCTGGCATTGATTCTTATTAATTATTCTTTGATCCCTTTGTGAGGACCCCCTGGGTGGAACTGAGAACGTATTTCTTTGCAAAGATAATTTAGTGAGTTTATTTTTTCCTTAGCTCCAGTGTATTATTTAAAGTAAGATTATATCTTGTCCAGGCACTTTGTTTTGATACAGTGTTGGAGATTGGGGAATGGCTCTATGCTGGGGAGCTGCAGACTGGTTTTCTTTTTTTTTTTTTTTTTTTTTCTTTTTCCATTCAGCAGCTGTTTGACCTTGGGCAGTTTTCTTCCTCCTGGGTGGGTTTGGGATTACCAGTAATATTGGCATTTTGTGATGGCTCAACTAGGTTACATCCAAGTTGTTGCATTTTATGATTTTATGACACCTAAGCACTTGAAGTCAGAGGGCGATGAACTGTAAAGACAAGTGAAAAGGAAAGCAAAATGTTAATCAAAGGATGATGGGAGGAGGTGAAGGATATCTGGTACTGGAGTCTGGATAACGAGTTTAACCTAAGGGATTTTTTTGTCTAGCTGTTTGGGAAGGAAAGTGGGACAGCAATAAGGGAATGCCTTTTGACTTTTTTTCCCCCAAGGGGGAAGGGGTCTCTGAGACTAGTCTTTGATCCAGGTTTATGACTAAGTAGTGTCACGAAATGCCTTCTCCTCTGTGAGCCTGACAGACCTTTGGCAGAAAGCCTCTGGGAGTGAGTGAGTGAGTGTGTGTGTGTGTGTGTGTATGTGTAGGGTGTGTGGCAGCATGTTCATGTGTGTGTGTGTGTGTGTGTGGGAGCACACTCCTGAGTGTGGATGTGGGGTGTAGTGGTAGGAATGAGGAAAGACAGTATTGAGTTCCACAGTTCTGAATGGCCTCCTTGTGCTAGAGCCTGTAAGGATTTCACAAGTGCTGGGATAGTTGGGTATCACCCATGCCAGTCCTCTTTTCACCACCTAAAACCCCTCAGGCTAGAGAAGTGTCTTGAATGAGCCCTTCCATTAGTAATTTAGCTGTTGAAATGGGTTAGCACTTTTTAAATTGTCTCCAGGCAAATAAAGGGATGTTGCTAGCCAGATGGCAGGCCACCCTCTAGCAACCAGAAGGGAATTTGAGAGTAGAGAACAAAGGTAGCAGTGTGACTTTTTACTTGTGTGAATCCTAAAGGTTTGGTATTTGTCCTTCAGATTTGTGAGGATATTTTTCTCTAGCAAAAAGAGAAAAGACGGGGAGAAAATGAGAAATGCAGCCCAGAGGAGTGGAACCCTATGCATTTTGACTTGTATTCTTTTTTCCTTCCTCCTCTGCCTTCTCTGTTAATCTTTCTCCTTCTCCCTTTCTGCCCACCCCTGACACCACCTCCTTCTCCTCCTCCTACTTCCCCACTGTAAATGGGTGAGAAGTAAGAAAGAGAAGGCTTTTCCTCTCTGATTTTTCCCAACTTTTCCTAGTAAAGCTCTTCATTCCCTTCCCTCCTCTCTGATACCTTTGAGCAGAGGATAAGCTTTTGCTACGTAGGAGGGGCAAAACCCCAGCTTAAGGATTTGGCTCTCAGATCCCCGTCAAGGAATTAAAGAAAATGCCCTCTAGTTGTATCCTAGCAACCCCTGTATCACTGAGCACCCACTGAGCTCCAGAGCCCACCCTTCAAAGGCCCAGGCACCAACACCTCTAGAGAAAGGGGCTGACGTCTAGCGGGACTTGGAGAGATGCTTTTGGGGAGGGGACAAAGAAAGAACAAAATCCTAATTTCCTGCAAATGCCTAAGAAACATGTCCACAGCAGACATAGAGAGCCTAGCCTCATCCAGCTATGAGATTATTAGAAAACTCTTGGGTTCAACTTCCTTTCTAGTCAGTCCCATCTCCTTAAGATTAACTGTGCCATTTCACTGCCTAGCTTAGTGCCAGAAGCTCTGCAGGCCCTGAAAAAACAATTTTTTTTCACCCTAACTTTTGCTGCATCAGGGAGGGGGTGAAGTGATATCCTGTGGGAACAAACTGAACAGCACTCTTCTTCCAGTGAGACAGCCTCCATCTGTCAGAACCTACAGTGTGCTTGTGCAGTGTGCCCCAATTTTGCTTGGGGAATCCTGATCAGCCTAGCTTTATGGAATTTGGGAATTTTTCCTTCTGTGGTTTTGGTATAGTAGTTTCTGAGGAGGGAGGCTGGACAAGTTGAAAGAGCAAGTTTGATAATGGAGCTAGTGAATAGGGCTTGGGCCCTGGCTCAGAGTCTCTCACCCACCAATGTGTGTGATTAAGCTGCTAGGGAGCTGAAGGATCCCAGCAAGGCTGTAGGTGAGGTGCTCTTCTGCCTTTGAGGTAAGGCCCAGATTGTGAGCAGCCAGAGAGCACAGTCTGGTAGTTTGAGGGATAGTGCCAAAGCATGTCTTGCTCTTTAGCCTTTGTCTGCCATCTCAGCCTCTGGTCCCTTGGCCTGCAGAGTGCTTGATGCAGGCAGGGATGTGAGAATTGAGCCTTTTCTCCCAAAATAACTGCCTCCTCAGAAGACCTCCTACAAGGCATCTGGATCTAGCTCCAATGGCTTTGCCCCAAGAAATGGGATGGAGGAGGGGAATCTTGGACTCCTTAGCTCTTATTTCCAGCTCTGCAACTTGTTCTAGGCCAGCTGAGTCTCTGGCTTTCCAAGAATCCTTGATGAAAGTTTAGCTTCTCCAATATCTGCCCAGAATGTCTCCTTTTGTCCTTAGGTGAATCTAGCTCTGTAGAGTATTTAGTTTATTGTCCTTTGCTCTAGCACCAAAGTACAAAGGGGAAAAACTAGAAGGGGAAGAAACTAGAGGGGAGAGAAGGCTCAGGAAGCAGTCCAGTAGTGACAGTACTAATCAGTGCATGAGTTTACAAAGGAAATTCACATCCTTTCTTTTGAGCATCACATCAGCCTTGTGAAGTGGGTAGAGATGATTATTATTTCCAGTCTTACAGATGAGGAAAGTAAAGGTCAGCAAGATGTTGGGATGGGAGTGGGTCTGCCTTTCAAATAGAAAGGAGCGTCAGAGTTGATCATTGTTAGCTAGTCTGAAGTTGAAAGTAGGGAGGGGGATTTGTGAGTCATCCCTGAAGTCATACTAGCTTCCTCAGCTATTCACATTTTTAGTGCTTTTTAATAACTTTCATTTGTATAGCACTTTTGCTCAGAATTTTCATTCTATAAAATGCTATCTTTTTGTCTTGAATATACATCGAAGAGTTCTATTTAGTTTTATGAAAACTCACTATTTGGGATCTTCAAGGTGAAAGGCCAGTGTGCATTGCTGTAGCCTAAAATACAGAATGTTTTGAAGGAACTGTAGTTTTCATACAATTGTTCTTCTCTTTGAAGCACACTTATTTTTATATATTTCTTTAAAAATGTGCTGCCCAGAACTGTTCATGATACTCCAGGTGCCACCTGACTGAGATGAAGTACAAAAGAACTTTGATCTATCTGTGAAATGTCTAATAATGCAGCCTTCTACTGATTCTCAACCCTCACTGAACATTCAGATCACTTGGGAAGCTTTTTTTAAATTCTCATGCCAGGTCTCCTATCTGAGAGATTCTGATTTAATTTTCATGGGCTAGATCCCAAGCCGCTTTATTTATTTGTTTTTTATTTTAAAGTTCCCCGAGGTGATTCAAATGTGCAGCCAGGGTGAAGAGTTACTGCCTGAGCCTTTTGAGCATGTACGTCCAAACCCTTTCCTGTCTAGTCCAGTCCTCTACTTTCTTGTGAAGTTGGCCACTTTAGGTTGTTTCCAACCAAAGTTGTTACATTTTATTTTGTTATGTTAGTCCATTGTTCTAGTTTTCTGTGAATTTTAAATTTTTCATCATGCTGTGCAACAAATTAGCATTGTGCAACAAATTAGTCCCTTCTAGCATTGTATCAGTTAAACTCTAGTTTGGTTGGTTGGACTATTGTTCTAGCCTTTGGATTTTGTTAAATTTTTTTTCTTCATGTCATACAACAGGATAGCAGCCTCTTCTAGTGTAGCATTATTTGAACACTGAATAAATGTCATTTGAGTTGTTGATTCAAAAAAATATCACTATGATATGATTAATGCTAGTTCCTATGTCACCTCACCAGAGCCCCTCTTGGAGTTGGGACTTGTTAATTTTTGTATGTATGTGGTCAATCAGTGCAGAGTGCACCTGGGTGTGCCAGCATTTATCTACCGAGGTGTTAATGTGAATAACATAGCATGATAGATTTGTTCTATGCTTTGTGGGCATCAAGATTTGCTGGGTTCATAGCAATCATCTGCCAAACTTAAAGACCCATCAGAAAAAGGAGTGTAATTTACCTGGCCTGTTTCTCCTGGTAAATCTGGTTGCAGGCTCCAGAGCTTCTTGTTTTCTTTCTGTGCCTACAAACCGAATGTTTCTAAAGTGGGTTCAGAATTTGGCTGAGGTCAGTACTACAACTGTAGTTTCTGTGTATTACTTTATCCTCTTTGAACAAGCAGGACATCATGGATTTAGCTTTAAAACAGAATATATTTTGTGCTCAAAGAGTTTCGAAAACTCTTTGTGCCTGTTTCTCTTGTTGTTTTGCTTAATTGTTTCCATTAACCCAGTGGTTCTCAGCCCTGGCTGCACATTGGAATCACTTGGAATATTAAGATTAACAACAATTACTAGAATCTTTGGGAGGGATCTGATTGAGTTGGTCATGGTAGGTTCCTGGCATCAATATTTTTCTAAAAGTTCCCTGATGTGATGGGAATGTTCAGCCAGGGATGAGAATGACTGCTATGGAATGCTTCATAGGAAATGTTAAGCTCAGCCTGTCTGACTTATCACACATGTGACTAGGCAAGCTTCACAGATGGTGAGATTTTATTCTAGGACTGTGGGGGCCTTGATAAGTTCCAGGGGCTTGTGCTCACTCTTAAAAAGGAGGAATCAACCCTAGGGAATGAATAGTCTGGAGACCTAATTGGATTTAAAATGGTTTAGGCTGTGAAATGGTTTCAACTCTTCAGGAATAAAACAAAAATGAGTTCCTACACATTTGCTATAATAGTGGGGAAGATTCTACTCGTTTACTAGTGACCTCAGGCAAATTACTTCTCTCCTCTGAAATTTGGTTTTCCTCGTCTGCAAAATAAGGATAGGTGGATTTGATGACTTCAGAGATTTCTTCTAGCTCTAACAATATGTGTTTATTTTGTGATTAATATTAATGATCAACATGATTAAGGATATTATTATTATTTAAATCTAGCAGGTAATCCAAAGATCCATTTTAGCAGATTTAGAATGCACAGGATGGTTTTAAGGATAGCAGTTTTAGGTTACTTTTAGAACAAGTGAACTTAGGTTGTGTTCTTTGAGCACACACTGGCTGCCAACCAGAGAAGGAAGTGATACAGTGAATTGAGTAGCAAGGGTATGCCAGTTTGGGATTATGTTTATTAAAGAGATATGTCATATGGATAATTGAGAATTGCCCCTCATAGATATAGAAGCAGTCTCATAGGTCTGAAAAAGATGGATTGCTTTGATAGTTCAGAACCCCTTCCTGCAGTATTTTAAGTAGCCTTTTACTTAGTTAAGTACTTCTTTTAATAAGAATTTCAGCAAATAAAATTTCCTATTTATTTCATTGGCTTCTTCCTCAAACCTAAAAGTAGTTAAGAAAGTGAGGATCATAGAAGTTAAGCAGCTTACTCAAGGTCACACAGGTAGTGGTAGTGATTAGTGGTAGTGGTAGTTCTAGTGATCTAGAACCTAGGCATCTTGATACCACACCCTGCAGTGCTTCTGGTATAGCCTACACAGTGGACTCTGTGGTCAGGATGCAGTCATGACTCTGAGAATTAAAGGGATTTTACTGACATAGAGCAGTATTCAGGAGGAAGTTTTGAAGAAAGGAGCAAAAGGGGCAACGTGGAGGAAGAAAAATGGTTTAGAGAGGGATGTGTTCAGGCTAGTTTTTATCTTGCCCTTATCACTTTTATGTGCTAGTTCCCTGCCCCTGATGGGAATTGGGCATTTGTCTTTGAGCACCAAGATTGAGTGTTGGTAGCAGAGAAGAAGGAAAGTTATACATGCATGGCAGAAGAATAGCATATGGAAGGCAGACTTACAATAGGAGAAAAAACAGGAAAAGGCCTTAGGAACCCTAGGATTAAGTCCTGGCTCTGTACCTACCTTGCTGCCAGATCTTGATCAAGGTTCTTCCCACCTAGGCCTCAGTTTCCATGTCACTAAATGAGAGTGTTTTCAGTAGAAGAACCATGTTCTCAAATGGAATTTTAGCTAGAAACTTCTGTATAAAACAGGAAAAAGCACAGCTGGTCTGGTTAAAATGGGCATGGGGCAGGGATGGAGGACAGAGTCTAAAGTTTCAGGCAACCATCCCTATGCAGATTTTGGTCACTAGGGGAATTGGAATTAGAAGAGTGGCGATGGCTCTGCCAAGCCTAGCCGTAGTGCTTGGGGAGACAAGAGACCCTTGGATGGAGTTGTGTGATGGGGGTGGGTCTTTCATTTAAGGGGCCAGGATTTGCAGAGAATCACTTAGGGGCAGATGTTAAAGTACCTAGTATGACACACTGCTCCCACTCTTGTTTACAAGTGAGAAAACTAAGGCACAGGTGGGGAAAGGGACATGTCCAAGGATGCAGTGATGGGTCTTGGATTCTGATTCTTTTTAGTGGGCTCTTGCCAGCTGTAACTTGCTACCTCCCCTATAGGTTCCTGGCTCTATGCTCCCTTGGCTGGATCAGAGACCTGAATGCTCTTTCAGGTTTGATTGGAGAAAGCAAGCTGACTAGACGCTGGGAGAACAAGAGCATTATGTAACCTACTGGAGGGGGAGCAGGCCTGTTAGTAGTCCTTAGAGGTCTAAAGAGTAGGATGGGGGTGAGGGGAACACAGAGTCCCTGACTGCCACATTAGCTCTCCTGAGGGCCACATTAGTTCTCCTGAGGCAAAGAGTGGTAGATGCAGCCCTGTGAGTGGCCATCTACCCTCAGGGCCCAGAGGAGGCCGGCACTGCACATCCATAGCCAGCTCTGGGAATGGCTTTGGCAGCTGATTTCTCTGCCTGCCTGCCTTCATTAGAGAAAGGAAAGCCATGCACCTCCGTGCCCAGCTGGCTGCAGGAAGGATGTACTAAAAGCCCACCCTCCACCCCCTCAGAGTGTGGTGCCTAAAGGCAGTAGCTACTTTTAGCTGAACCTCCCACAGCCTCTCCTCCACCCACTTTCTTCTTCCTCCCTATGTGAATTGTGCAGGATGGCAAGAAGGCTGGGCAGTGGGTGCCTTGGCATTGGGATAGAGGCAGAGGAGGAGCTAGGCATCTCTAGGAGGGGCTCTATTAATCCCAGTATGGCAGGAGGGCTCAGAACAAAGGCAAAATGATGAGACTGCTTTGTGCTTACGACCCAAAGGGAGTGGAGGGATTTATTAAATTCCTTTGGAGCTTGCAACCAGCCGAGGTGCTTGTCTTGTAAATTTAGACTGAACTACGTGGGAAGACACACATTCTGATTAAGAGGAAAGCAACTGGGGCTAGTGGATACTTGATTCTTGACAATTCCTCTTGAACAGTCTTATGCTTTTCAATGTGTTTTGTACATCGTCTCACTTGATTTTCTCTATGGCCCTATGAAGTCGATAGGGCAGAGATTATCTCCAATTTACAGATGAGAAAAAGAATGCTCAAAGACTTATTGTCACATAGCTGCTTCCAGCCTGGTTCTGGATTTAAGCTCTGGAAGTTATAGTGCCACTTAAAGTCACTGCAGACAGCTATGTTTTCTAGAAAAAGGGGTGCTGGAGCTGTCCTGCTTCTAATCTCCTTATTGTGGAAGCTGGGGAACTAGGCCCAGAGAAGAAAAGGACTTGCCCCAGGAAATGTAGTACATTTGTAGTAGTGCTGAAATTAGAACATTGCCTGGCAAGAATGAATTCCTGGACCTACAAGATGTGCAAGCCACTGTGGTCTTTCAAGGGTTGTTTGGGAAACCTGTATAGTGTAATGGAAAGCAAAGTATCACAGAACTAGGAGTTTGTTATTTTTCAGTTTGGGCAGAAATCATCGGTGGGTGACTGCCCCAGTGGAGGCCTGACACTCACTAGGCCCTCTCTAAAGATTTGGTTGAATAGATGTACACATGAGTAAAAAGGAGGTGTTAATGTGAAGTCATTTGCTGTGTGACCTTGGACAAATCCCATTGTCTCTGTCCCTCATTTCTCTCTGTCACCTTGGAGTACTCTTTTTACTTCTCTCACTTGGAAGAAGAAAGGCCCTATGACCTGGTCCCTGTTTTGGGTGCTTGGTGGAAAGCTGTTTTGTTTTTTGATTTTTTTTTTTGGTTTGTTTTTAAATAAGCTTTCTTTTATTTATCCCAAGGTCCATTTCCCATGCAGTCACACACATGTTGCTATGAATAGCACACTAGCTTTCTCTCTCCTCATCTCCTACAAAGTTAAAGGAGGAAATCTGAAGAAAGCCAAATTAATTGTGTTTTTATTTAGCACCTTCTTAATTTCATCAAGCCATAAGCCACCAAGGCTCGTGGTAATTAAAAAACAAATCTTAGCCCCTAGGTCCTTGGCTAGGATTTGTGATGAGCATTACTGGGTTTTCATGATATGATCAAAAATTGTTTTAGAAATTGCAGGTTCTTGCCCAATGAGCTGTGCAGAACAAATCAACGCTCTTCACCTGTACCTGCATGACTTTGTTTGGAAACATCTCACTGCTATGGGGGCAGGGCAAGAAGATAAAGACTATCATATAGTCTTCTGCTTCTGACACACATTCTTTTCTTCATTATACTGTGAGGTGGCCAAGGCCAAGATTATTCTCCCAATTTTATGGCTAAGGAAATTGAAGCTTGGTGAATTGCTTTGATTGACTCAGGTCAGTACTGCATCTTAAAGGCAGTGGTGTGCTAGGAAGAACATAGCATATAGAGTTAGGTATTACCAAGTCACCAGTACTAAGTGTCTCTGGGCCAGCAATTTATTAAAATTCCTTCTGTAGTTTGCTTCTATGTATTTTGTTGTTTGTTTGTTTGTTTTTTGAGATAGAGTCTTGCTCTGTCACCCAGGCTGGGTTGCAGTGGTACAGTCTCAGCTCACTGCAACCTCCGGCCCCCAGGTTCAAGCGATTCTCCTGTATGCCACCATGCCCAGCTAATTTTTTTATTTCTAGTGGAGATGGGGTTTTGCCATGTTGGCCAGAGTGGTCTCGAACTCCTGACCTCAGCCTCCAAAAGTGCTGGCTCTAAGCATTTTTACAAAAGTTAATCAAGATAGAAGAAAGAAGGCAGATGCTACTGGATAACTGAATAGATTGGCATTGAACCATTAATTGGTACTTCGGTGCATCTGCTGGATCTACAGTAAATTTATCTGAATGTCATATTGTCCAAGGATACATGAGAGGCCTTTTGAAATGAAGAAAAGTGACCACAGATTCTGCAGTCTTTTGTGACCTACTCAGTTTGGATATTTTCTCTTTGTGGGTCTATCTGACCATATTCTTAAAAGACTGGGCCTTGAGCCTAAAAGCTGTCTCTTCACCATTACCAGTTTCAATGTTCATCACAAAGGATAGGGAAGAATGATTTGGATAAATTACATGCCATTTTGCCTGGCCTTTGGTGAAGATTGTATGCCATTGAGGCTGTATGTTTATTCCTTTTACTCCAGTTGGTTCAGACCACGGGGAGAATGAGTGTAGAATGACAGACAATTGGGAGACAACAACCAATAGTGTGCTGAGGGTTAGAGGGGGCCTCCCTGGGTTGAGACATCTGCAGATGCTAATCCACATGCACATATCTACACACTGACTCTTTGTGGTGTTGCAGGGAAGGAGCAGAGTTTGTCCATAATGCTTAAGCTGAGAAGTGACTGGGTAAGACTGAGAGAAACCCATGCATTGAGCTCCTTCCTTCAGTGTACTTCTGGGGAAACTGAGGCCTAAGGAGAGGCAGGAACTTGCCCAAAGTCTCAGAATTTGTCCTTGATCTTTGTCCAGTCTCTCTGTTCAGCCATTGGCTAATTCACCTTATATTTGTGAGGCTCTTTAGATGAATGAAGGGTGGCTAAGCCTCTTGGGAAAAGCACCTGTGATTACCACATTCAGGAAGTGACAGAGATGAAATTTGAACCTAGGTCTTTTGTCCTGCTTAAGAGCAGATTGACCCAGACTTGAAGGAAAGCTGCTAGAAACAAACTGGTGGGGAAGAAAACTGGTTCAGCTTTGCTGTCTATCCATGCTCTATGCCCATACCTTCTTCACATATACGTGATAGATCATACGTGATGCACAGTTATGCATACTGAGACACGTGGAATGTATATGGGACACACAGATGGAACATATTTTCACATCAACACACATGGAGCACAAACATGAGAGGAATATCACACTTGCACATTCTCAGCAGAGGCAGGGTACACACACAGGAACACACATGAGGGATACTTGTACACATCTGCATGTGTAATTAGTGCACATGGATAGATATAAGGCACAGTTGTGCACCCACATACATATGGGGCATGCTGAGATTCACTCTCAGATATACTCTTACCCCAGGACATGTACTCCTATACCTGAGATACACAGTCCTAAAGATGTATTTGGGCATACATTACTCCATACTTGAGTGTTGAGTCACTCTTGAACACATCTATGGGACACATTCACATGCCCCACACAGCCCTGTGGGACATATTTTGATGAAGAGCACATCCTTCCCTTAGGGCTGCTAGCTGTCACTTTCTTCCAAGTGGGTATGACAGGGTACTTGTCCCAGCTGATGGGCCTCCATAAGTTTGCTCTGGCTTCCTTTTAACCTTGAAATTAGACTTGAGAGGGCAGTAAGCTCAGTAAAAATGGATGTTTAAGATGGCATGTGTTGTAGAAGGCTCTGTAAGGCAAACAGAGTTCAGAGCAGAACCCTCAGATGTGAGTTAACAGGCAGATGCAGAAGAATGGAAAAAGCAAATTGTCACTGATCAATGCAGAAAGCTTGAGCCTGTTTCTTCATCCTCCAGTTCACTTACAAACCATTGTGGAGTGATATGGTTATGAAGCAATGTCCCAGAAGGCCTAAAGTCACTGAATATTAAAGTTCATCTTTCTTGCAAATGAAATAACGACCTGGACTAGAGCAAATGTATCTAAGTTGTGGGTGTTAGGGTGTGAGGGGGAGTGGTAGGATGCAAAGCGGGAGATCCATTTGGGCAGTGACCCACCCTCTCCTGGGTTAATGGCTGCCCGAGACCAGCCACATCCATAATGACCACAACCTAGCCCCTAGGCACAGCAGCTTGCGCCATCTGGCCCCACTAATGAAGACATCTATTTTTAGAGTGCCTCAAGCTGGAAACCAGGTCATGGTGTCCTGGGGAAGCCTTTGTGGTCCTTGATACCAAAGGCTGGAGCTGGAAAGATGGGGCCCTAGATTGGGTCTGGGTAAAGGGTGGGAAGCAGGAAACAGGTAGCTGGGGTATACCAGACTTGCCTGGGAACAGCATCCTCAGAGCCTCAATTGGGTTACTATTAACTATAATAACCTCATGCCCATTTTTCATCTTTGGCTTTGAGGTCAAGAAACATGAATTTCAGTTGTTACTCTGCCTCTTGCAGTCTGTTTCAGTCACATTCCTCTCTCCTGTCTGAGTCTTACTTGCTTTATTTATAAAACATCCAGTATTGCCCCTAGATGAAGGAAAGGTCCAGCTAGGCTAAGAGTTGAGAAGGTATTTTGAGGATATACTTTTCTCCACACGTAAAGCTGCATCATCACTGTCCCTAAGCTGTACTGAAAGCCTGCCAACGATTACACCCGACTCCTTATTGGAGTAGCTGTAGACAAAAGGCCAAAAAAAGGAGCCAATAGAACACACCTCCATGGAGTCAGGTTGGTCAGAGTCATGCTGAGATTACCCCCACCTATACAGATGCTTTTCAATTCTAGGTCAGTCCTTCTGGGAAAGAAAACATTTGCAGCATTTAGGTGGTCATGTAGGTTTGGCTTCTCAGGAATCCCTTAGGTAATGAGAGAAGAGGAGGCGTCCAGAGCAGGGACTTCTTCCTAAACTAGGAAAAGCAAGGCCAGGTCACCTGTACCTGCCATCTGCCAGAGGAGGTGGCCTAGAGTGCCAGCTCTGGCTCTTATAAAGTGTTTGTGCTCATGGCCATTTTATCTGCTTTGCTGAGGAACTAGACTATGTAGTTCAAGTTTCCCCCTGCTGCAGACATTGTGTGCAAAGTTCTCCTGAGCCTCAGTTTTCTGCTGTAGAATGAGCTTAACCATAGTCTCTCATAGGAGTTTTAAGTGCAAGAATTCATTGTGACATAGGATGTGAAAAGTGTCTCGTAAAATGTTGAACATGTGTTCCTGCTGTTTGGATTGTTAAGATTTGATCCAGATTGTGAGTACACATAGTTTGGAGGTAATTGAGAAACTTCACTTTATTTCTCTACCCCTTACCCATACTGTTCTTTTAAGCCATTATTATGTCCATTTTACAAATGGAGATGCTGAGGCTCAGAGAAAGGAGAAACAAGTCTGAGGTCACAGAATCTGAGGTAGTGGTGGATTCAGAACTAGAAGTCATGCCTTCAGATTCTCAACCCAATGTACTCTGGCCCTGGGCTGCCACCAATTAACTCCAGTGCTAAAGGAAGCTGCCAGAGGTTACTTAAGTAAATATATGTACAAACTTAGATTTTTTTTTCTCTGAAAAGCAGTGCAAGGGCTCTCTGGGGCGCCGCTTTACCCAGCAGTTTCCCTCTTTGCCCAAGAGAGACACACTGATTGACCCTTCATCCCTCCCACAGCAGCTCATGTCCCACTGTCTCCTGCATGTTGGAAGCAATGAAGAATTGGAGATACTAGGCTGTTGTGAGAAGCAATCCTACTGCTGGTTTAAGCCACTTCAGGACAGACAATAGAAGAATTTCTGGAGCCACTTAATCCACCTTGGTCACCTCCACTCCCTCACAATTTCTTGGGTACCCCTGACCTGCCTAAGGGGTGGGCTGAAAGGGATCTAAGGAAATATATTTGATTTCTGGAGGATTGTGTTAACAGTTGAGGGATAAGAGTATGGAAATAATCCAAGAACCAAAGCTGAGAGTGTCTCTAGAGACCAACTGGGCTGAATTTCACCTGGACTCAGTGAGGACATTAAAACGCAGCTGGGCTTACTTTTTCTCTCTTAGTGTAATCTTCCTTTGTAGACCACAGATTCTTGTGCTCCGTCAGATTTTCTAGAATCTTTCTAGCTTGCTTATTTTTGCTATTCTGAGCCCTGAAGAAGGAAGGGGTAGACACGTTGAGTGGAGTGGTGAGAGGAAAAAAATGGAGGAATCTGGTGATCTCAGGCCTTGAGGGCTAGGCATTGGAGGAAAAGGCCTTGTGTCTTTCTTCATTTGTATTGGTGCTAATGCATTATTTTCCTATCTTCTACTGATTGGCTGTGGGAGCCTAATCCAATCTGTTGTTATCTTCACTTTTACTACTTAAACCTACGGAATGACTACAGTAGTCATTTTGAGGGATGTCTTTTGTGGGATAGGATAATCAGTGGGGCAGGGAAGTGGGGTGGGGAAAATGCAGTGCTTTAGGAAAAATGGGGAGAGGCACTTTATTTTCTTCAAATTTGAGGGCCCAGGGAGGTGAATAGGAAAAGGTTAGCTGGCACAAGAAGTAGCCATGCAGTTTCCTAATCACTTTTGACCATAGATATCTCAGTTTTTAAATTTTATTTTTGGATAGGAAATATATTCACATGGTTCAAATTTCAAAAGGTCTAACAGAGTGCACAGTGAAAAGGCTCCCTCCCACCCCTACCCTCTGCAGAGGCCACCAATGAGTCCTTCCAGAAAAATGTTCTATGGATGTATAAACATAAACGAGTATGAATATATTCTTCTTTCTCTTTTTATGGTAATATACTACACACATTGTTCTGTACCTTGTTATGCTTTGGATAGTCTTTGATACTTCATTGGATTTCACCTTTTGGGGATGTGAAGGTGTGCTGTGGAATATAGAGGTTAAGAGCACTAATTATAGAGTGAAACTATCTGGGTTCTGGCTCTATGACCTTCAACAATTACTTCATTTTTTTTCTGAACTTTGGTTTCCTTATCTTTAAACTAGGGATCAAACAAGTTATTATGTGTAAAAAACTTAGATTTGTTTCCAACACATAGTATGCATTCAATAAATGTTAGCCATTTTTTATTATTAGGGAAAAAAACCCGCTGGACCATGCGTCAGTAGATCTAGGTTTTCTTCTGGCCTCTGGGCTCCTGGGATAACTGGGTAACTTCCTTTGTTCAGGCCTTAGTTTCCTTACCTTTAAAATGGAACACTCATCCCTACTCTGCTTATCTCCAGGATTTCTGGGAGGATCCAGTGAGCTTATGAATATGAAGGCAACTTAGCAATTGTGATGTTCTGAACAGATGGAAAAAGTACTACTTAATATTTTCATTGACAATACTTTGGGTGGCTTGAACCCAATGGTCTGAACTGGGTGGAAGAGGCAGTATTTTTCCTTTGCCAGTGGAACCCCAAAGCCATCCCTATACTGGAGTTGTATTTTGAGTGGGGGATAGCCCATGACAAAAATTTAAATACTCAGATTTTTCTTCTGACCTTTTTTATTCCACCCCATCCCTCTCCTGACTTCCTTGTTTCTATTTTTTTTTTTTGCCACCTCAACCTTGTCAAAACCTGCTTTTAGAAGCAAAGCAGCAGCATATGTCAAAGATGACCTCAACTTTCCATTCAAAATACTTTAATACAACTGGCTCAGAGAGGAGCTGGATCTTCCCAAGTTAATAGAGGAAATCTGGAATCAAGCTAGAACTGGAGCCCATTCTTTCCATCCCATTTTTTTCTACTGACATTTGCATTTTAGTGTGAAATTGAATTTGGGATTCCTTAGCAAAAAACATCTGGTGGTGAGGAAGATTCTGGAAGTATCTTGTCCGATCCTTCATACTGAAGTGTTCTTATCCCTTAATCTTTAGGGTCAGACCTATTTGGGATCCTGAGAAGGGAGGGAAAGGCGTGTTCTCGTTGTAGTACTGAAGGATGATGTCTATAGAGCAGTGGGAGAGAAGAGCACCAGAAAATGTTGAAAACAGTAACGTCCAATGTGAGGCTCTGGAAGAAAATATTAGTAGTTCTTTATATATTAAATCGTGAATCTCATTGTTATTTAATTTCTATTTTGTGGCATTTTTTAAATAAAACTCATTAGTATTTAAATACTGGGATAGGGGTTTCTTATTTTTTATTTGTTGAGATAAGGTCTCGCTCTGTTGCCAGTCTGAAGTGCAGTGGCATGATCTTGGCCCACTGCAACCTCTGCCTCCTGGGTTCAAGTGATTCTCCTGCCTCAGCCTCCTGAGTAGCTGGGACTATGGGGCACCTGCCACCACGCCTGGGTAATTTTTTATATTTTTAGTAGAAACGGTTTCACTATGTTGGCCATGATAATCTTGATCAATTGACCTAGTGATCCACCCACCTTGGCCTTCCAAAGTGCTGGGATTACAGGCGTGAGCCACC